ACAATACTGTTTGATTACAATTTAACAGTATAATGAAATGAAAAGACTCCAAGGGACTGCGATGGCCAAGCAGCTCTACCTTGAATCCTTATGATCGTGTTTTAACTATGCTCAAGTTCGATATCTTTAATACCTGCCTTTGCACAAAAATGTGCAGAAGTGTAGAGTGAGCACACCACAGCGGTGCCCAGTAAGTATCAAGACTAACCTCAATGGAGTAGAGACGAGGTACAGTCAAGACACTCACTAGTCTAATAACCTGTGCAATATAATATACAAAATAATAGGAAATAAATAACAATAGGACAACATGGAACAACCAGTGATATGCACAACAGACAACAAGAATACCATTAATATCATTCAACAATTAATAAATACAAGAACCCCCAATTAAATTAAGTCCTTCAAATAAATGTCTTTCACATATAATTCTTCCAGATAACTCTCTTTCAAATATAATTTTCTCAAATAATTATTTTTCAAATATAATTCTTTCAATAAATCTTTTCAAATATAATTTCCTCAAATAAATATATTTCAAATAAAATTCTTTCATATAATACTTTCTAAGTAAAAATCCTTCCAAATAAATATTTTGAATATAATTCTTTCAATTAAAAAGCCACCATGTGACACCTCATTTCATAATCATAAAAATACGGGTCTCAGCCCAATTTCATATTTTTTTCATAAACACGGGTCTCAACCCATATTTCATGTTTCTACGACACCTCGTGCCCATAATTAAATCATCATATTTTTCCGGCGCCTCGTGCCCTCATTTCATATCATAACTGCACGGACAACTCACGTACCAAATATCATTATCATTTCATCACAGCACCTCGTGTCCACATTTCATATCTCAACTGCACGGACAATTCACGTGCCAAATATCCTCATAATTTACTCACGGCACCTCGTGTCCACAGGCTCTCAATTTCAACATAAATCAGATTATTATCAATTTACCAACAACAAGACAAATTGCACTAGGTATAAAAATAAACACAAGAAAATCACAACGTCGCATGAAAACCATCAACACCACAACCCCACATCTTCGCATATCGTCCCTGACAATAGCCATCCTTATCGCTCCTATTGCCACCCTTATCACTCCTATAGCCACCATTATCGGTCTGCCTAGACAATATCAATAGCCACCCTTATCGCTCCAATTGTCACCCGTATCGCTCTTATAGCCACCCTTATCGCTCCGCCCAGACAATATTCTAACAAACACAACATATAATGATATGCCACCCTTATAACCACATATTATCAACGGTGAAATGTCACCATTATCTCCCAAAAATAACAACTCACACAACACAATAATTTTACACGAAAAATTATCACAGCAACATAACAAAATCAATTCATATCACAATTTTTCCAAAGGCCACAACCAAATTCCAAAGCTACAACCAAGTCAATTAATTTCACAACAAATAGCCAAATGCTCCACACAATGTGTACAACACCCAAAAACAATCAAATAGAGATAGAAATTACTCAACATAAAGCAAAATCTTCATAAAGATCAAATTTTTAATAATTATATAAACACCTCTTCTTAAGCTCATTTAATTAATTATTTGCAGAGGGAAAATCCATAATGAAATTAAATTCCAATAATTATCAAACCAACAAATTCACGGAATTACATAAATAATCAAGTAACAATCACATCAAATTATCATATAACAACAGATTCAACAACAACAAGGATTTTGGCACGACAATTAGGTGATTAAATATATACCAATAATTATCCAATTTACCACACAATATTCTCAGGACTTTAACTCAATAAAATTTACACATATAAGCCGAGTACGTACTCGTCACCTCGCGTACACGGCTTTTCACATTTCATAAATGGCATATAAGACTCGATGCCTAAGGGGTAATTCCCCCACTCGAGGTTAAGCAAGACACTTACCTTTTTGAAGTTAGGCCAATATTCCAAAATAGCCTTCTTGCTTGAATTGACCTCCGGACAGCTCAAATCTATCCAAATTAATTGTATAACTTCATTAAAATTTATCAGAAACAATTCCGGATAATAATACGTCGACTTAAAATTTTATTCCAAAAAGTCAACAAAAGTCAACGCGGGACCCGCCTCTCGGAACTCGACATAATTTTCATGAAAATTGAACACCCATTCCGATACGAGTTCAACCATACCAATTTTATTGAATTCCAATAACAACTCAACCTCCAAATCTTAAATTTTTATTTTTGGATTTCTTCCATTTAAATACAAACTAAATGATGAATATAATCATAGATTCATGAAATATAATCACTTTAGGATATAGAACACTTACCCCAACCAAGCTTGTAAAAAATCCCTCTAGAATTGCCTAAATCCGAGCTCCAAAAATTCCAAAACGAAATGCCAAAAATGACCAAGTTCAATCCTTATGTTTCTGCCTAGTTTCGCACCTGCGATTGATTTTTCGCACCTGCGTGCTCGCTTTTGCTAGCGAAATCTCGCTTCTGCGAAGGCCACTGCCCAGTGGACCATCGCATTTGCGGAAGCTTTTCCGCTTCTGCGGGAATCGCTTCTACGATGACTCGCACGCACCTCTGATGCCCCTCTACTTCTGCACCTTCTATGCCCGCTTCTGCGCTTCCGTATGTGCGGGATTTTCTTCGCACCTGCAACCACTGCCATACCTTCCATCTTCGCTTCTGCGACAAAATTCCCGCTTCTGCCAGGTCGCATCTGCGTCCAAAATTAAGGGAGCTATTCCCATTTCCGAAATCGAAATCTGTCCTCGTTATCAAAAATTCACCGTTCGGTCGGACTTTTCCAAAATCTTATATTTTGCAACTTTTGCCAAAATATGTCGAATTGTTCTACGGACTTCCAAATCAAAATATGAACATATGCCGAAGTCCGAAATCATCATACAAAGCTATTGCCATCATCGAAATTCTATTCCGGGGTCGTTTGCTTAAAAGTCAACTCCCCGGTCAACTCTTTCCATTTAAGCTTCAAAATGAGAATTTTTCTTTAAATTAAATTTCGAATCTTCCGAAAACCAAACTCGACTACACACGCGGGTCATAATACATATTGTGAAGCTTCTCGAGACCTTAAGTCACTGGACGGGGCATAATTTCTTAAAACGACAAGTCGGGTCGTTACACAATAATCCATAAAAAAACATCAAACGACGAGATATTAATGAATTGTTAAAAATTCTTAAGGCAAGAGTTGTCTTACCAATACCACCCATACCAGCGATTGAGACTTTATTTAGCTCTGATGTCTGTCCGATGATTTGATCTCTTATGTTGTTGAATTCTTCTTCCATCCCAACAAGAGTGTTTTCATCATCTAAGATAGTACGCTACAATGAGCGGAGAGGTAATGTTGGAGCCGATGAAAATGAAAGATCTGATTTACAGATCTGAATAAGCACATATATGAGACCATCGGTTTTGGGCCTGATTATTGGGTCATCAATGCAAAATGCATTGGGCCTGCTTGCCCCAGCCCACTTATGGGCTTGCATTTTTCCAGCACTATTATTCACATAGTGCACAACACATGGTACTATGTATTTTAGTTATTTGCTCCATTCATGTATTTATTTTATGTACAACTTTATACTAGATAATAGGACATTGCCACTTGGAAATATAGTATGCAAACCTAGATTCATTCCTATTTGTATAAAATCCTAAGTATGTACAGCAGAAATACACACACTTATTGAAAATACAAAGAAGAAAAATCTTCAAATCATTTTTATTCTTTCATGGTATCAGAGCAGGTTTGATTCTGCTATCATTTCTGCTTTCTCACTCATAAATTAGCTTTCCTTTCTCACTTTACTTCTTCTCTTAAGCTTGTCTACTATGAGTTCTTCACCACAGTCGGCTGATACGTTAGCTTCTGGTACTGCAACTACCAATGTTTCTGCACCTGCAGTCACCATTGCTTCAGGAATGATTGACTCTACTCACCCTTACTACCTTCATCCTTCTGACTATCCAGGGATGAACTTTGTGTCCTCAACCTTTGATGTAAAAGGATATGGAGGTTGGAGATGGGCAGTCATTATTTCTTTGCCTGCAAAGAATAAGTTGGGATTTATTGATGGTACTCTTATTATCCCTAAGGCTGATTCTGCAATCCAGCAAGCCTGGGCTCGATGTAATGATATGGTACTTTCATGGCTGCTCAACTCCTTGTCCAAAGAGATAGCTGGGAGTGTTCTCTACTCACATAGTGCAAAAGATTTATGGAGTGACCGGGAAGACAGATTTGGTCAGACAAATGGAGCAAAGCTATTCCAATTACAAAAGAAATTAAGTTCAGTGGTGCAAGGAAATTCAAGTGTATCAACTTACTTCACCAAGATGAAGAGCCTATGGGATGAACTAGATGCACTCAACACATTTTCTGCTTGTGTTTGTGAGTGTGAGTGTGGGGCAAAAGTCATAAGCTTGAAAGCACACCAAGATGAGAGACTACTACAGTTCCTAATAGGACTGAATGACATATTCATTCGGGTAATGAGCAACATTTTATTATCATTACCTTTACCTTCCATTGGACAGGCATATTATCTTGTGATTCAAGATGAGAA